CTGTGTGGCAGAGCCCTGCCGTGCCACCCTGCGCGAGCTGTCTGCCCAGCGGACTCCACCCCTCCCAGGCCAGCAAGAGGCATTCTGGGGTCTGTACGGCATGTGCTAAGAAGGAATGCCACTTACTACAAAGCAGTTCTGGACATTCTTAATTATTAGAGTTTCCATTCCATTGAGACCCAAATGTGAATTGGATTCCAAGAGAGAAAGGAAGTAGTGAGGGTGATAAGGGAAGACTTGAATAATTGTAGGGGAGGAGCTAGAAATGGCCGGACGAAGGGGTGGGAGTCGGACACCATCGGCAAGCAAGGAGCCAGGCCCAGGGCCTGCAGGAAGACCTGCTCTGCAGGGCTCCATCCACAGAGACCAGGCAGCGCTGGCCAGGACCGCTGACCAGTGAGTGACCCTGGAAACAGGGCCCTCTCCGCCTGAGGGCTCTCGCCTTTGGGCATTTTACCAGCTGTGCTGTGTGGCGTTCCGCCTGTTCAAGGACCTGGGCCTGCTTCCCGGAGGGAGGCCGTCCGGTCCCTGATGCTTCCAGCACTTGGACCTAGCGCTCAGGTTTATCATTGTTGTTTGAGGCAATGACAAGTATTTCTGATGTATCTTTTCCCATCATCTCTTTCCCTAGGAAAGTTAGCTAGACTGCAGCAAACAGCCTTGTCATTGGTGCCCGGCTTGGGATTTGGTAGGTCTGCGGAAAGGCACTGTCTGGCCGGCCCTCGTACTTAGTTTGAGGCATAACTGTAAATATCTTTTCTCCTCCCTGGTACATTCTGTCACTTCCCAGTTAGGAACCAGCCAGTAGAAAACCTCTCCCTCGCCTGGTGGAGCACACCTCGGTGGGGCGAGACTGAGAGACGTGTTGCTCTGTCGTGTTAGCGCGAGTCTGGTTTTCTTATCCGCTTTGCTCCTCCTGAGTGCTGGCCTTGGGCACTACGGATTTGGACTCGATTTGCAGTTGCTTTTAATTAATTAATTTTTCTTTATTTTTTATTGAGGTTTAATTGACATTCTACTAGTTGCAGGTGTAAAACATAATGATGAAATATTTATATATACTGTGAGATGATCTCCACAATAAGTCAAGGTAACTTGTCACCAAATATACTTACAAATTTTCTTTTCTTGTGAGGAGAACTTTTAAGATCTACAGTCTTAGCAATTTTCAAACATGCAATATAGTCTTGTAAACTGTATACTACATCTGCACATTACATCCCCATGACTTCCTTATCTTGTAGATGGAAGTCTGTACCTTTTGACTTCCTTTACTGATTTCCCCCACCCCCTATCCCCACTCTATCAACCACCAGTCTGTTCTCTTTATCTGTGAGCTTGGTCATTTCACTGAGCATAACACCCTCGGGGCTCACCCATGTTGTCACAAATGGCAGAATTTCATTCTTAATGGCTGGATAATACTCCATTCTACACACACACACACACACACACACACCACATTTTCTTTATCCACTCATCCACTGATGGACACTTAGGTTGTTTCCATATCTTAGATATTGCAAATAATGCTGCCGTGAACATGGGGGGGTGCATATGTCTTTTTTAATTAGTGTTTTCATTTTTGTCAGATAAATACCCAGGAGTGGGATTGCTGGATCATATGGTAATTGTATTTTTAACTCTTTGAGGAACCTCCATACTGTTTTCCATAGAGGCTGCACCAATTTACATTCCCACTAACAGTGTGTAAGGATTCCCTTTTCTCCATATCCTTGCCAGTATTTGTTATTTCTTGTCTTTTTTATGATAGAAATTCTAACAGGTATGAGGGGATATCTCATTGTGGTTTGATTTGCATTTCCCTGATAACTAATGATGCTGAACTTCTTTTTATGAACCCATTGGCATCAGCATGTTTTCTTTGGAAAAACGTCTATTCAGTTACTCTGCCCATTTTTTAATCAGATTGTTTGAGGTTCTTTTCTATTGAGTTATATCAGTTCTTCATATATTTTGGATGTTAATCCCTTATCAGATATATGTTTTTCAGATATTTCCTCCCATTTCAGTAGGCTACCTTTTCATTTTGTTGATGGTGTAGAAGCATTTTGCTATGTAGAAGTGTTGTAGTTTGATTTAGTCCCACTTGTTTATTTTTGCTTTTGTTCCCTGTGCTTATGGAGCCAGATCTATTTTGAGTTAATATTTGCATATAGTGTAGAATAGTGGTCCAGCTTCATTCTTTTGCATATGGCTGCTTAGTTTTCCCACCACCATTTATTGAAGAGACTGTCCTTTTCACATTTTATATTCGTGGCTCCTTTGTTGTCAATTAATTGACCATATATGCGTGTGTTTATTTCTGGGATCTTGATTCTGTTACATTGATCTGTGTGTCTGTTTTTATGCCAGTTCCATACTTGAGCTCACTATAGCTTTGTAATCAAGTTTGAAGTCAGGGAGCATGATAACTCTTGCTTTGTTGTTTTTTCTCAAGATTGCTTTGGCTATTTAGGGTCTTGTGAGGTTCCATACCAATTTTAAGATTGTTCGTTTTATTTCTGTCACTTTTAATTTAGAACAGTACCCTGACCAGGTTACATGTATCTGGTGGTGCGGGGCACACTGAGTCCTACTGCAGGACAGGGCAGGGATCCAAAAAGACAGCAATTCATCACCCTCACCTTTGACTCAGAATCAGAGGACAATGACCTCTTACCTTTGCAAATGGCTACATATACGTGTATTATATCATTTCTCTTCCCAGGGCTATTCCTGAGTGCCTGCCTTTCTGTTGATAGCCTTTATCATCATGGATGCCCTGCCTTCTTGTGTGTCCATTTTTAGATTAATCATGATCCTTGATGCATAGTATCCTTTGTCCTGGGTGTTCCATGCATCACCCTCTTCTTTCTGTGTTCCTTCGTTCATTCTTAATAAAATGAGTATCTATGAACCTGACACCCAAACAAGACCTGGATTAATCAGAATCAGCCGTGTCCGTGTGCTCCTCCTCTAGCCCAGCGTTGCCAACCTTTCGGACCTCACGGACCACCAGTGGTCCACGATTGGCTCTAGCCAATTGCCCTGCCTGTCTCCCCCCAGGGAACCACTATCTTGAATTTATGTTTACCATTCCTTTGCTTTTTCCAAAAATAGTTTGGTCACATAGATATGATTTCCTAAACCATGTTTTCTTTACTTGTGCTTGTTGTTGAACTTTATAAAACAACCAGCAAACAAGAGTAGCTACTGTTTGCAGTCTTTGGAGCTTTGCATTTTTCACTCAGCTGTTACCAAGGTGGCTTTCTGAAGGATGCGCCAGCAGGTGCTGCTGTGTGCTCACAGGGGATGCCCAGTGTAGCCATTTCCTGGGCGTGGGCTTGCAGGTGGTTTCCACATCTCGTTTTCTCTTACCAACAGTGTTGCTCTGAACATTCTCAGGTATATGCTTAGGAGCGGAAGTGCTGGCTGTTAGGAATACAAAGGCCTGCTTCTGTAGATACTCCAAATCACTTTCACTCCTCTCCCCGCAGCAGTTTATAAGACTCATTAACCCCATTCTTCCCATTGTCGGGCATGTTTATTTCACTGCTTCTCCTTTCTGCGCTTGAATAAAGCTCAGTGCACACGGCAAATCAGTTCAGGTTCTGGATCTAGTGGTGGCAGGATCTAATGATGTACCGGGCTATCTCCCACACGTGAAAGCATAAACTCCGGGGGAAATATTTGGTTTTTTTTTGTTGTTGTTGTTGTTACTCCTCACCTGAGCCGATTTTTCCATTGGTTTTTAGAGAGTGGAAGGGAGGGGGAGAGAGAGAAACATTGATGTGAGAGAGACTCATCAGTTGGTTGCCTCCTGCCTGACTCAGTGGCCAATGCCAAGTATTCGGAGGGAGTGGGGCAGCAGAGTTCTCATAAACTGCTGGGCGGGGGGGGCGCATGGTGCAGCCGTGGGGGAAACTGTATGGCAGTTTCCTATAAACTTAAATAGCATCTATTCTGTGACCCAGCAACTCCACTCCTGTAGTATTTACCCAACAAAAATGAAAGCCCTGGTCCACAGAAAGACATAAATATGAGTGTAAATCACAACTTTATTCATAATAGTTCCAAACTGGGAACAACCCACATGCCCAGCAATAGGAGAATGAATAAACAGATTATGGCATATTCATACAATGACTGCTTCTAAGCAATAAAAAACATAATGAACTACTTACACACAATAACATGGATGAACCTCAAAAAGACATGTTGAGCCAAAGAAGCCAGACACAAAAGAATATGTATTCTTATGATTCTGTTTATATGAAATTCAAAAATAAGCAAAACTAATCTCTCATTGAAATCAGTGCTGGTTGCGAGAGCAGGTGGAAGGTTGCCTGTCACAGCCACAGGGCACCATTGGGGGACAGGAAGGTCGGGTCCCACTGGGAGTGGTGGTCACAGTGGTTCACACATTGACCACAGCTTGCCACTTCGTACCCTTAACGCCTGTGCACTTCACTGTCTAGATTTCACCTCCACTTTTTACAAAAGTCTCGTGGAGCTTCTGTGCCTCCGTGGCGATGGCGGTGAAACACCGTCTCGACTGCCTTGGAGACTCACTCACATAGAAGAGTCCTGTGTATAATCAGGCCCATGTGAGGTAAAGAACGTACATAAACACATCAGGAGCAGAACTTTATTTTCCTTAAGCCCCAGATGGCTTCTTTAAAAGATTTATTTTTCTAGAATATATTTACAAGATTGCTGGGAGCATCTTTTTTTTTTTTTTAAATAAAAGAAAAACATTTTGACCACGTTAGTACTAGTGGGTCCTTTTGGGGCAGAGGATGCGAGCCTTTGTATTTTCTTAACACTCCTTCCAGTCCTGATGTTCATGCGGTTTTGAATTTTTTATTCTATTGCAGCTGAAGTTTGCACTCAAGACCTACTTTCCTTACGCTCCTCCGTCTCTGGTCATGGCGCTACTCCGGCACCCGAAAGGTATGGTGTGGTTTCGGGAGCACCCCCGCCACCCCTAGGAAACAAGGGAGAGGGACCCTCATCTCAGCGCCCAGTCCGCGCTCAGGGCCTCTAAGTCTGTGGACTTTGACATGACAAGTTGCTTGACTTCCCTGTTAGGATCATTTACCAAAAGAAAGAAAACAGCATAAGAAAAAAGGGCCTCTTGTTAAGTTTTGATAGTCTGCCCCGGATACCACAGTCCTCTGGTGCCAGCCAGGCCCACCTAGATGCCAGGAACAAGCTAAGACTTGGCTGAGTTAGAATACAACAGTGCATTTATTTGTATTTCGTTCGTTCTACTCTATCCCCCTTGTTGGAAAAGGAAAGATAAAAGGACGAATGAAGCCAAGGAAATTTGGGGGAAATTTCTCCTAACCAAGCCAGGGAGGCCTGGGAGGAATTCGGGGAGCGTCGGACCACAGCCTTCTCTGACTCCCTCTCCCAGAGGCCTCACCAGCTGGGGAAGTGATGGTTCCATCCTTAAGGCAACTGGTGTTGGTCCTTAAGGCGCCTGTGAGCTCATGTTTAGCAAACATTTCAGTAGAGTAAAGCCTGAAATCTGAGGGAGAGGCAGCGCAGGCGCAGCGTGCTGGAGAAGGCATCTTATCTGCCGGTGGGAGGGAGAGACAGGGAAGAACAAAAGAATCCGTAACACTTCCTTTTCCCGCCATTTTGGCCCTTTTCCCTGAGACTCGGGTAAGTACATTCATTTAAGGACAGTAGATGTTTCAGAGTTTCACAGCATTTTATAAAGTCGGGCTTCCTCTTCCTTTTTTCTAAAAGTGGTAGATCCTCATCCAAGGTGACCCATCTGACACTGTCTCCTCAGAGGCTGGAGCTGGAGGTGGTGATGGGCCTGCCGGAGCTCTGGGAACAGTTCTGTGAAATGTAACCTGTGGAAACACGATGGAAAGACTAATAACAAGACAGAAAAGTCAGTGATTCACTTTCCAGGGCTACACCGCACAGCTATAGTCAGATACCACAGCCTCAGGCCGCCTGCGTGAGAAGCCCATGAGCTCCAGGAACAGTACTGGAGTTGTTCATTTTACGTAGGGAATCTGTAAGCAAAAGATCCCGGTGGCACACGGGCCTGGACCCAGCCTACTCCCTTTTCCTTGGTGTGACTGTCCTGGATTTATGTCCAAAATAAGTAAATTCAGGCAGAAGTACAAGAGCCTCCTATGCTAGTTTCTAGAACAGTTTTCTGCATATTTTAGGGGGAAAAAACAACAACAGCGCTATGTTCACAAATTGAAGTGTTTTTAATAGTAGAATCTTCTATTTGTCAGAAATTGATTTTATGCCCACTGTGAAGTGCTGTGGGGCATAAAAGATGGATCACTGATGAGCCCTGACTCTCAGGAGCTGTAAGTTGAGGGGACATAAAGTAAGTACGTAAACAGCTAAACAGGAAGACAATGAAAACGCTGTCAAAGGCTGCACGTCCGGAGCAGGGAGTTCAGAGGAGGAAGGGAGAGAATACATGAGCCTTTAATCCGAAACATTTGTGGAGCAGCAGTGGTTACTGTTACTTACGTTATCTTTCTCATGTATTTACTTATAGAGTCTTTCACTACATGCAAATATGGTAACCTTTTTCTGATGTTGTTTCAAACTGCAGATACATACCGACTCAGATGTGTTTAAAATCACAGGATAATTGTGAAACCAGAAAAACTAACTCAAGAAAAGACATTTGTTTGTATATATTTTCTTGGCCTTTTCTTTACTATACCCTGTAATCATATTCTGAATTCATCACAATCATAGCAAGAGTTGGGCAGCCCAGGCCCAATTCCTTTTTGACGGTGTTTTAGTCTCCACATATTTTGAAATCACACACTGTTAGCGATCGAGGAGGGGACAGGTCGGCAGAAAAGAGAAAGCCTGGACCTCCGCAGCAGGGCTTGCCGGGCCTCGGGCTGCGTGGGGGCTTTGCAGATTCCGCGGCCGGCCGGGTTCAGCCCCTGCAGTGCAGCTTGTGTGACTGACGGATCTTTCTCCCCTGGGAACAGCAGAGAGCCGTGGGGTGGGATCCACCGGCCAGGAGAAAAGATGGCCTTCCCCCGAACTCTTCCCGCCTAGCTGCAGGGACTCCGCCCGGTAGGCTTGACTTGTCTTCAGTTCCCCTCTGTTCTCCTTCCGCCCACAGACATCCCACAGGGACTGCGGCACCAGCCACTGAGGCGTATTGCTGAAATGCTCAGAGAATCGGTGGACGACCGGACTCACGGGTAAGCACACACTGAAACCCCAGGTCGGCCTCACCTGTGGTCTCCCCGGGTCCTTCCCTTCCCTTCAGCAGGGCCGATGGAACGGCGTTGTCGGTCTGCAACCATCCAAACGTAAGCACACGCATGCATGTGTAAAGCCTCGTGCAGCATAAGGTTTCTACACGCATGAGCAAGAAAGAATAGATCCTAGAGGAAAAGCGTTGCCCACGGCTGCAGGCTCCTGGCCGTGCAGAGGGGCCTCTCTGGTCCTCTGCTCTTCTTCTCCCCAAGGAAGGAGTTCTAAACGGCTCCTGCACTCGGGTGCAGCGTTTCCTTTTCCTCCTCTGTAATAAGTATCTCATCTAAAATGCAAACATCCGCCCTAGCGTTATGATATTAAGTACCTTCTTGTATGTGTTATTGTCCTAGAAGCATTCGCTTTAGGCTCTAAGTTCTTTGTAACATAACACCCTTCAGCTTCCTCTTAAATTCCTGGCTTTTAGAGTGTATTTTATTCATTGTCTCCACAAGCCTTCAAGGCTGCCTTTATTTGCACTGTTTGCCAGTTTTCCCTCTCGGGATTCCCTGTAACCTGTCACTGAGCATCACAGGTGACCCACAGTGCTCCTGCCCTGCTCCTGTCACTCCCGAGACTAGCACTCCCTCCTGCCCTCCACCCAGACTCCCCGACAGAAGAGACAAGGACTGGTGGCCAAGCAGGGATTCCAGTGTGGCCACAGCAATGCCCGCCACACCTGGCGGCCCTCCCTGCACCCATTCTGTCACCTCTGCTGAAGAGCAGAGCTCAGGGCCCACACCTCCCAGACGCCTGCCTCACCTGGATCTGCCTGACCTAGACTTTGGGGTCCACCTGCAGGGAGGGTCCTTCCAGGCTGGCACTTTCTCAGCCCACATGGACTACCTTGCATAGGTGCTGGTGGGAGACAGGGAGAATGGCCCGGCCCGTCTCTGCAGTGCAGGCCTGCCTGATCTGAGTGTGCAGCCCACCTGGGAGCAGGGAGCATGAGAGCCCCCTGCTCAGCTCACTGCCCGGGACGTCTGCTGGGAGGGACCCTGGGCATCTTCCTTGCTCTGGGCGCATACTGCAGCCACCACTAGCAGGACCAGGGAGCAGCTGCCCACATACTACAGCCACCACTAGCAGGACCAGGGAGCAGCTGCCCACATACTGCAGCCACCACTAGCAGGACCAGGGAGCAGCTGCTGTCCCCGTGGGAAGGAGTGAGACAGTGCTGCCTTCCTTTCGCTCCATTGTCCTGGGAGCTGCCTTCAGAGCATTTCCTCAGGAGCAGCCAGGAGAGCTCTCAATGCACGGCCCCAGCTGCCCCGCTCCGATTTCCAGGGGCGCTGTTAACCCGCTGACGCTACCCCTGTGAACTGTGGGTCCTCACCTTGAGCTGACTCTACCCTTTTTTTTTTTATTTTTTTAAAATATATTTTATTGACTTTTTACAGAGAGGAAGGGAGAGAGATAGAGAGTTAGAAACATCGATGAGAGAGAAACATCGACCAGCTGCCTCCTGCACATCTCCTACTGTGGATGTGCCCGCAACCAAGGTACATGCCCTTGACCGGAAT